GCATGATGATAGTATTATACTATTTTTTACATTTTAACCATCAACCGTGTAGGCTAAAACGTGAAAAGTAAGTGTGCGTATTTGTAGTATTTATATGGTAAAATAAAAATAATCTAGTGATTTCTTTGTTAGATGGATGCTTCCGAAATAGAGTTGGGTCGAGTTGAATTAGATTTACTACAGTATATGTATCAACTCAACCCAGCGCATTTGCATAGAGCATAATTACATTAAAGCGAAAAAATAATAAATTAATAATATTGTCATGTTTGCTTATAATATTTCTTCATGTTATATATTATTTTTTTAGAATGAATATAACACACAAACAAAAAATAAAATAATAAAATAATAAAATTAGTTACAATAATATAATAATAATTATTATTATCTATATAATTTCTAAAATTGTTTTTCTGGGATATCAAAAGGATCTTGAGTATCTCTTAAAATTTCACGCATAATACGTAAATTCTTGTTTTTTTCGTTTTGTTTTTACTAACTATCTACCATGCAGCAGCCATCGTAATTGATTAATTTATTATAAATATAGATATTATTTTTCACGGGAAATATCAATTCGCATGAAAGTTTTCACTTTTTCGCATTAAAATTTTCACTTTTTCACGAATTCATCCTAAGTGAAAAGATATCCACAGCAGAGGTATCCAAAATATATCATAGGGGAATCCTAAAGATATCCTAAGATATATTTGGGATATGTGATATCTTCAAGATATCCCTATGATGTATTTGGGACATTTTTGCTGTGAAGGTACATGATCGACCTCCAGATACTGTTATTACAAAAAAAAACCTCCAATAGCTCCCACATTTGCAGTATCCATCTACAACTTATTAATAAATTTCCATATTAAAATTTTTTTTATATTTTTTACTACAATTATCCCAGCAAACGCAAAATATAACTGTTATATAACATAGACGTAACACGTACTCTTGTTACTTCTATGTTATATAGCAGTTATGTCTTTCTTTGTTAAGATAATAATATTTCGACTATATTTAATACATATTTTTGTACACTTATTAAACATATTACATCAATTACTACTATTCTCTATCCTTTTCATCCATTAACCCAGACAGCACAAAATATTTATAAAATATATTTACAAAATATTTATAAGAATATTTACTTTTCGAAGCTTATGGCAATTATGCTCCATCGGAAAGAACATGCCAAGTATGGTTTCAGCGATTTAAGAGTGATGATTTTGATGTCAATGATAAAGAACGCTCAGGCCAACCGAAAAAGTTTGAAGACACCGATTTGCAGACATTATTGGACGAAAACTCTACTCAAACGCTCCAAGGATTGTCTGCAGCATTAAATGTTACTCCGATGGCTGTTTCCAAACGTCTACATGCAATGGGAAAAATTCAAAAGGAGGGAAAATGGGTACCACACGAATTAACCGCAAATGCCATTGCGAATCGCTTAAACATCTCTATTTCTCTGCTCGCCAGGCAGAAAAAGAAGAGTTTTTTATGGCGCATAGTGACTGGCGAAGAAAAATGGATATACTTCGATAATCCTAAACGAAGAAAATCATGGGTAGACCCTGGCCAACCATCGACATCCACACCAAAGAGAAATATTCATGGCCACAAAGCAATGCTTTGCATTT